ATCCACCGACGGCTCCGCAGGTGGGGGATCGACTGCCCGCTGCCCGTCCTGCGTGAGAGATGGCCTCCGCTGCGCTGCAAGCTGACGGAGGTCCGCCCAGCCTGGATGTGGTCGTGGCTGCGCACAGCGGTCAACGGCTGGACCACCTCGCGTCGCATGAGCGCCGTCATCGACGCTCGCCAGTGCATCTTCGGCTGCGACGGTGAGGACGCGCTGGAGCACTACGTGCTCTGCCCGACCCTGCGGGAGATGGCCGCGGGCGCTGGGGGTGCCAACGCCATCGGCAGTGGCCTGGAGCTCCTCGGGCTCGGCGACGAGATGTACCACACGAAGCGGTCCCACGTGGACTGCATCTTCACCATCGGCCTCATGTGCCAGTGCTACCACATCCAGAAGTACAGGATGGACGTGGGGCTGGCCGTGGGCGTCGACCAGCGGGCCTCCGTGAGGTTGGCCGCGCTCCATCGCATGCAGGCTTAGGCGTGGTTGAAGCCCAACCGGCCCGCCGAGCTTCGTGCCCTCCTCCTCCTCCTCCTCCTCCTACCCCTCCTCCTCCTCCTCCTCCTCCTCCTCCTCCTCCTCCTCCTCCTCCTCCTCCTCCTCCTCCTCCTCCTCCTCCTCCTCGTGAACCCTCCTGAGGGATTCCGCTTACGGACTCTCAGAACACTCCTGAGGGGCCCATCGACAGCGCTGACCGGCCAGCTTGGCCGCTGGACCCGAGGCGAGAACTCCGCAAGCGCTGGCGCTGGAGGGCCCCCAAGGGGCGGGGACCACGCCATGCAACAACAACTAGAAAGTTACTGGTTGCCACGGCCCACGGCTCGAGCTAAGCTGTGTTTTGGCGACTTCGCGGGCCGTTTTCGTTTCACTGTCGTTGTGCAGCAAGGCTACCCTTGCATCCTTGCCCCTTCGGTATTCGGCATCATTCGACATTCTGCTGCGCTCCGCACGGAAAACGTCAATATGGCATTCCAAGGACCTTGCATCCGTATCACGCATCCTTACTATCCTGGTCGAGTATATGTGATCGTTTTCTTATTCATCGTTTGGCCGATCGGCGCGGGCCCTCGCACCCCCCCCCTCCCCCTCCCCTCCCCCTCCCTTCCCCTCCCCTGGAGTAGATCTTGGCTGTTTTTTGGGAGCCTGTTTCGAGCGGGTGGAGGACCTCCCCACCGGACGCACGGTTGCAAACAGACGCCTTGAGCAGAGGTCCGGAGCCAGACCCCCTCTCCTTCCCCCCCCTTCCGCCCAATGTCGTAACGCCGAATAAAAAAACGCTCACTAGGCCCACCGAATAATTTTCTAAGATCCTTTTGTGGTCTGCTCGACAGGTTCTCAGAACAGATCTGGCCGAAGCTGTCCTGTGCTGACACATCGGGCTCGTGTGCGAGGGACAGGGCTTCTGTGATGAGGACATCTCTGGTTTCTGAGAACATGGCGTGTCATGCCTATAGGACTGCCCGGACGGTCGGCCCCTGCTCACCTTCCCCCCCGGCCCGCCGCGCCCCCCCGCCGGCCGCCAGGCGCGCGGCGAGGCGGCCGCGGCCGAGCTCGCCGCCGCGCGCAAGAGGCGTCGGGGGTTTGGCCAAACCCTGACCTTCAGAGAGTTATGTTTTAGCACTGGAAGCCTAAAAACCAAAAACAACTAAACGAAACAGCCTAAAACCAAGACGTAGAATAGCTCTGGGATAGGTTTTTAGGTCGGGTGCTGTTTTTTAGCCCTCCTGGACGGTCAGGGAAGGTGCCCCCTTTCCAGACCCCCCCCGCGCCGTGAAGCAATCACGCAGGGAGGTTTGTCGCGACTTTTCGAGTAGGGGATCGACTGCAGAACGGATGTCCTCCAGAATTGGTTCTTCCGTCGAGTCCACGAACGACACGCAGAGTGTTTCCTAGGTGTACTGAACATTGCCACGCATGTCTCGCAGACTCGAAGCACACATCCATGCTGGGGCATACCAATTCCGTAGCCGACCCCCCAGGCGAACCTTCGGCCTCCGGAGGCCCTCACTGGGCCTCGGGGTCGTCAAAACAAAATTGTTGTCCACCACCACCACCACCATAAGTTGGAGGGGGGAAGGAGGAGGACGAAGAGGAGGAGGAGGAGGAGGAGGAGGAGGAGGACCCAGAACGAGGAGCAGGTCCTCGGGAATGGGTCCAGGCCGCTGGGGGCCCCCGTCATGAGACGTTCGTGACGTCGGGGTTCTGGGAATGGCGCCCCGCACGTCTACCCCTCTCTCGCTTTCCCTTTGTCTCGGCATCGCTCGGACGTGTGCATTTTTCCTCCGGCGAGGACCATCGAGGAGCATCCTTGATCATTTCGCGGAAACACCACGCACGAAACCCCAAAAAACACAGGGAATGGACGTCCGAGCGATGGCCGGTTGCGGGGGGCCTCCTGGGAGGCCCTCGTCGCCATCGCTGGGTTCGCCTCGCGATCCTGGTCAGGACGCGCCCCGGGAGAGGTCCGGGGAGCAGCGGTACAGTCGGGGCGCTGAAGAAGGAACCCTTTTCGTTGGGGAGTGGCTCGATGTTCCTTAATTGTTTCACAGCTTGGCTAAGGTTTTCCTTAGGTTTTCGATGGGAAGCCGAAGTTTAACGTATGGATAAAAGGGGCCTCGTTCCATAGTTAGGGTTCCTTAGGTCAACGCCCCCGCTGTATCCGTATTTTCCCTATACAGAGATCGGGGGCTGCCAAAGGTGCCTCTTCTGCCCGAGGTGCCCCCGGCTCGTCGCTCCCTTCCGGAGCCCCCTCTGGGCCCCCTGGGCCTCGTGAGGCGGTGCTCTGAACCCAGACCCCCGACGTAATGATTTTTCAATGGCGTCGACCCCCAGAGGTCCCGACCCTTTCCCCATGACCGGCTTTGCATCCTGAGTCGTTTTGTTGACGCTCCCGAGGCCCGGTGAGGGGCCCCAGAGGCCGAAACTTAGGAAAAGCCTCCCGTCATGATTTTTTCATTGCTCGAGGGCGGTCTGGGGAGGCCGAGGGGTGCCTCCCTGTGTATCCCGGGGGGCGCCTTGGACAGAAGGGGCACCTCCAGCAGCGCCCGGCGAGGCACCGCGGCGAGCGCTGGGGCTGCGGCTGGATGGCGGGCGCGGCGCCGTCGGGGCAGGAGCGCCGCCGCGGGGCGGGGGTCGGGGGCAATGCCAGGAGGGGCCAGGCCCCTCCTCCTCCTCCTCCTCCTCCTCCTCCTCCTCCTCCTGCTCCTCCCTCCTCTTCCTCCCTCCTCCTCCTCCTCCTCCTCCTCCTCCTCCCTCCTCCTCTCCCTCCCTCCTCCTCCTCCTCCTCCTCCTCACTCCTCCTCCCCTCCTCCGCCTCCTCCTCCTCCTCCTCCTCCTCCTCCTCCTCCTCCTCCTCCTCCTCCTCTCGTAAGTCGGGCATGTCCCTCTAGGGGGATGCATCGACCCTTGATCGCCCATTGATCGCCGACAGGAGCCCGATGGCCCCAGCCTGCCCAGGAAGGTCGGACTCACGATCGGAGGCCTGTCGCCGTTCTAGCGGCGATGCATCGCCGAGTCCAGGTCGATGACCCCCCCCCTATGCCGGGCACC